TTAGTGGAACCTCGCTTAATCCCAGTTTAATCCGTTCCAAAATTTCTGGATTTTTACTCTATCTGCACACAAGTTTTAAAAATGTTGCACAATTCGGGACTTCTCTTCTCATCGTCATTCGTTAAGCGAAATTCCACTGTATTTAATATGTATTATACATGTGAATATTGAATTTTCAAGGATCAAATTATTGAAAAAATACTATATAAAAACTGTGAGTATTTACATTAGTCTTTCATCTCACATAAATCAGGTTTTGTTATTGGAAACCAATTGAATTTCAATGTAATTAATTTACACAATATATAAAACATTGAAATTTAATTATATAAAAGACTTGAACGGATTTTTCAATGAATTTAATTGATTTATGTTAATCAACATTTCATCAATTATTAGAAAATTTACATATTTCAATACGAAATTATTAGCAATAATTATTTGAGAATATCAAAACTATTAAAAAAAAAAAATTGAAGTATAGTGGAACCTCGCTTAATCCCAATTTAATCCGTTCCAAAATTTCTGGATTTTTACTCGTATCTGCACACAAGTTTTAAAAATGTTGCACAATTCGGGACTTCACTTCTCATCGTCATTCGTTAAGCGAAATTCCACTGTATTTAATATGTATTATACATGTGAATATTGAATTTTCAAGGATCAAATTATTGAAAAAATTATATAAAAACTGTGAGTATTTACATTAGTCTTTCATCTCATATAAATCAGGTTTTGTTATTGGAAACCAATTGAATTCAATGTAATTCATTTACACAATATATAAAACATTGAAATTTAATTATATAAAAGACTTGAACGGATTTTTTCAATGAATTTAATTGATTTATGTAATCAACATTTCATCAATTATTAGAAAATTTACATATTTCAATACGAAATTATTAGCAATAATTATTTGAGAATATCAAAACTATTAAAAAAAATAAATTGAAGTATAGTGGAACCTCGCTTAATCCCAGTTTAATCCGTTCCAAAATTTCTGGATTTTTACTCGTATCTGCACACAAGTTTTAAAAATGTTGCACAATTCGGGACTTCTCTTCTCATCGTCATTCGTTAAGCGAAATTCCACTTATTTAGTATTTAATATGTATTATACATGTGAATTTTGAATTTTCAAGGATCAAATTATTGAAAAAAATATATAAAAACTGCGAGTGTTTATAAAATCAACACAATATAAATTGTAACGCGTGTTGCAATAACAAATGTTTAATTAATTTAGTTGTCGTTTGTAATCCGCATTTCGAATTGAAATCGTTGATGCGGGGGCGAAGTGGGGTATGTGAAAAGACGAAAGCAAACAAACAAACAACATGATTCACGCACGCATTTATGTAATTCGGCGTCGATTACAAATTGCGATTTACAATTACGTTTATCTCATCCGCGCGGACCGCATTTCGATACATATTTAATTCGAGCATTTGCAAAGCAGACAAATATAATTTGTAATTGTTAATTTTTATACTCATTTTTTCGCATCATTTATTTTTGTTATATACACATGGATCTTATCTACTACATATATATACATGACACACTTCTATTTATAAAAAAAAATGATAACAATTATAAAACAGTATAATTACAATTAGCATATTTTCTATAGTTCTGGTGTAGCCTTCAAATAGTTTTTTTTTTGTTCAAAACTTTGAAACTTTCTGAAAAAATGCAATCAAATTGGGATTAATAATTACTATTTTAGCACTAATTATTATTCTAATTTGATTGAAATTTTTCAGAAAATTTCAAAGTTTTAAACAAAAAATTTTTTTTTTAATTTAAAAATTTTGGTAGGTTTCCAATGGAAAATCATTCCGTTTACTAGCGTATTTTGTTTTTTTGTTTTTATTTTCTTTTTTTCTTTGTCTTATGTCTTATGGTCACGTTCACGGTTAAAGAGAAATTAAATAAAATGTATGGATTGATTTGTACCAATTGTCTATTAATGAAACATTAGATAACGATTGGTTTGAATATTGGTAAACTTTGATGGGTTATTACAAAAAATTGGTAAAATCTACAAAAAATATAGTAGGCGCATTGGAAAGAACATAGTTTTGTCTTTAATTTCTATGCTTGATGTATTAATTAGCATTCACGGTTAAAGAGAAATTAAATAAAATGTATCGTTTGATTTTTACCAATTGTATATTAATGAAACATTAGATAACGATTGCTTTGAATATTGGTAAACTTTGATGGGTTTTTACAAGAAATTGGTAAAATCTACAAAAAATTTAGTAGGCCCATTGGAAATAACATAATTTTGTCTTTAATTTCTATGCTTGAGGTTTGAATAAGCGTTCACGGTTAAAGAGAAATTATATAAAATTTATCGATTGATTAGGTAACGATTGCTTTGAATATTTATGATAAATTCAACTAAAAATTATAAAAGAAACTTTTCATTTTTTTTTACAATTATTTTGAGATGAATATGAAGGAATGTTAGATAGTAGAAAGGCATCTCGTTTAATTCGTAACTAGTTGCAAGTTTGCTTTCCGCATTAAGTATTCATGGGTCCTGAGGTGGCAAAAGTTCGGTAAGTTTCTTAATGAAGTGGAAGAGGGGTAGAAAAAAGAAAATGCAACTAAGTGCAAAAGCACTCCGAGGTATATTCTCAGCATAAATTTTGTTTTACCAAATGTAATACTTTCGAAAACAGAATTCAAATTGTTTCAATTGTCTTGAAAATTAGATTTATATTTTATTTTCTTAATATTAACATATTAGATTTATTCATGTTTCAATCATTTCGTCTTGGATTGTTGCAAATATATACTTTTAGTGGTTTTAATAATGACTAGCTATGACTAATTTTTTTTTGTATCTAATAAGAGTCTAATCAAACAAAACATAAAGAAAATAGACAGAAAATTTGACTAATTTTATAAATTTCGTAACTTATTTTCAACGTAATTCACTTTAGAGTTTTTCTGTTGAATTGTTTAAATATTTGGAACAATTTAACAAATAAATATAGAAAATTATACAATTATAAAAGTTGCAGTTTTCTTTGTAAATAAATAAATTCATGATTAAAATCTATTTCGTCTTGAATTGTTGCAAACTATATACTTTTAGTGGTTTTAATGATGACTAGCTATGACTATTTTTTTTTGTATCTAATCGAGTCTAATCGAACAAAACATAAAGAAAATAGACAGAAAATTTGACTAATTTCATAAATTTGCAATATCTATAAAATTTAAATAATGATAATTTCATTAATTTTGATAGTTTTGTTTCGTAACTTATTTTCAACGTAATTCACATTAGAGTTTTTCTGTTTTTTAATGTTGAATTGTTTAAATATTTCTAACAAATTAACAAATAAATCTAGAAAATTATACAATTACAAAAGTTGTAGTTTTCTTTGTAAATAAATAAATTCATGATTAAAACCTATTTCGTCTTGGATTTTTGAAAACTATATACTTTTGGTGGTTTTAATGATGACTAGCTATGACTAATTATGTTTTTTTTATATAATCAAGTCTAATCGAACAAAACATGAAGAAAATAGATTGAAAGTTTGATCAATTTCATAAATTTGCAATATATACCTATAAAGTTTTGTTTCATAACTTATTTTCAACGTAATTCACTTTAGAGTTTTTCTGTTTTTAAATGTTGAATTGTTTAAATATTTCCAACATTTAGACAAATCAATCTTGCAAAATAAGTTGATAAAATGATTTAATTTCACTTAAAAAAAATTGTTTTGTTGAATTTTCTATTTTTTTCTATTAAATTATATTTTTTAGATGGCTCCAATTTTCTTCGATTATCAACGTACTCCGATGAGTCTGAAGAAGACAAAAATGGCTTTGGACGTCTTCAGCACTTACTTGGAGAGGGCTGGAACCAAATACGTTGCAGCAGGTTGCGAAAAAACAACTTGATTTATCGTGCATTATTATCATTATAAAACTCTCGAATTTCAGATAACGTGACAATCGCCGATTATCAAATGATCACTGCCACCATGTGTCTAGAAGCCATCAACTTCGATCTTACCCCATGGCCTCTGGTATGCAAATGGTACTCCACCTTCAAGCAAGAGAACCCTGACCTCTGGGCAATCGTCGTCGAAGGCATGAAGGAAATCGCTGACTTCGAAAAGAACCCACCAGATTTGAGCCACATGGTCCATCCGATCCATCCAATTCGCAAATAATTGCTTTTTCTATTATATTATTCATATTGTTTATCTGGTAAATAAAGTTCTCTAATGATAAAAATATAAGCGATTTGCGAATCCAGCCTGGGATTTCATTTATTTATTTCCTGCGTGAATAATCGAATTTATCATTTAAAGGACATACACATCGTACACGTTATACACACCATACGCTGATAAGATTATTTAGTTGGTGTGCGAGTTCCAATGCGTGTGCACATACCAAAAAAATAGAAATTAAATACACATCCATAAGTCGGAATTTCCAGTTTACTTTTGTTCGCATAGGTGTGTGTTTGTGTTCAGTGGAAGCAACTATGTCGTCGTCCTCTTCGGATCACAACAGCTTCGAGGAGAAGAGTAATGAAGAATACTCAATTGGACTTAACATCGATGGAGATCAAACGTTGATGAAGGTGAGCAAGGATTTAGATCTGGATGCTCTGATCGAGAAAATCGTTAAAGATTATAATATGGTGAGTAATTGGAAATTGTATTATTATCATCTTATGAAAGAAAAAACTGAAATATTGCAGGATACAAGTCGCACGTACGGACTCAGGTTGCATTTCAGCAAAGCCTTATTTCGCACGAATATGTATGTCACTGCCGAGAGCTTCAACACCGACATTCAGGATGGAAACATGCTCTACGTTGTTCCGTCTTTAGATGAAGAGATCAATTTCTTGTTCGATAACATTCAGTATGCCGAACGAAAAGAACAAGTCTCTGAAAAGATGTACATGTTAGCTGCCGATCCTGCATATGTCAAAGCTTTAGGTAATCAACGATTTTATTACTGTGAACAGTTCAATATTGAATTTACAATTTAATTTGCGCAAATCTTAGTAAAAATTATGAAAATGATATTTATAAATATTGAATTTTTGAAGCAAAAATAATTAACAAAACCAATTATTGTAAGTCTCAATATTTAACCTTGCAATAATTGCAAAAAATAATTAACAATTGTAATGACGAATATAATTTTATTTATTTTAAAATTTTTCTTTGTGTTCAGTTGATCGAAACGCTGTAGATAATTTCATAGATTTCCTCCAATGGCGCGATATAACTGTTAACGGAAAATCAGGTTGTTTGATAACATTGCTGAAGCTTCTTCTCGATAATCACGTAACAAACATCAAAGAAAACATCTTCAAATCCATTGTAAAGATTGTGGAAAATGCAGATCCAGAAGCAACGCACGCTCTATCCGTGCTCACGCAGATCCTCTACTCCAAAGAAATATCTTTAACATCTCTTCAATTCAACGTAAGTCTCTTCATCACATCCAAAAGAAAATCTCTATAAACATAGATTGAAGGTTGTGGATTCAATGAAGATGAAGCTGTTGCTTCAATACATCTCCATGCAAGGAGATCTTCCTTTGAAGGCGATTTCTTTGATGACGGCAATCCTGAAATCGGTCAAAGGTGAGAAGAGGGCTTCTCTGATCAAAGAGCTCAACAGCAAACACAACAAGGCCATCTTCTATAAACTTATGGTTACGACCAAAATTGATGCGAAATTGGCGAAACAATTGTACATTTTACAATCGTTTCTCTTCTCAACTTACACGAATTCTTTGAAAACACCCATCTCCACGTTGGATATGGAAAGTAGTTTGAGCAGTATTTTAGAAATCAACGATGATTCTAATTCGAATTTCAATCAAAGTAGACCTAATTCCGATAGTTCATATCAAGATTGCATTTCAAGGTAAAATATTGATTTTTATTTTGCTAAAAACTGTAAAATCTTTAAATGATTCCAGATACTCGATGGCTAGTATTTTCAGTAAAAGTTCAGTCGATTCCAATTTCGTCGATATTAACTCCATGACTTTGCGGTGTTTAGGTGAATATAATTAATTGAATTTTAGCTAATATTTAATGATTTTATATGTAAACACAATAAGTATAAGTGAAACGAACTAGAAAATGTCAACAAACTGTCTGGTAAGGTGTCGTGTTTATTCTATGATAAGCTATCATTTCTTTACCGTGTTTTCTTTAAAAAAAAGGCAATTTTGAGATAACCGCAGGTTAAATACGCCTTATGTTATTAACCTCGTTCATATTTACATAATTTATTTTATAGTCAACTAGAAAATAAATAAATAAATTGAAATAATATATGAAATGTTAAATATTTTTTTTTAGATAATTTGCGGTTATTTTCTTTCAGATTATTATAGAGCGCAGTATTTCAAGAAATTCGCCATATCGCAGTCGGAGGAAAACACTTACGAACCTGGTTTACCGACATCCGCTGAAAAGTATAAACTAAATTATATAATTTATAAAAAAAAACAAACAATTGTATTTGCAAAAATTTTTCAGGGTTGTCAATTTGATAGCGGAAGTGACGAACGTGTCGGGAAAAATACGCAAGAATTGTATGCGTTATATACCAATTTATTTCCACACGGAAGAGTACTTCTTCGAGCAACTCTTTTGTAATATGATGGTTATGCTGTCCGTGACTCGAAAACAGATGCGCGCCAAAAGGATGGAGGATTATGATAAAGTATTTTTTGTGTTAAATAATTTTGGGAGATGAACTGAATGTTTGATTTCAGCTGTTGAAAGTCGTTCAGAAGCAATTGGAGATCATTTTGGATAAGCATCCGTTGAACTTCACGGCTCTACAAAACTATATGAAGGTTGTTACGTACGATACTGTTAAAGAATGCTGGAAGGTTAGTAGAACTTCTGATTGATGGCTTAGATCAGTGGTTTCCAAACTTGATGTTACTACGCCTCCCTCAAAAGTATGTAATCATTTGGCGCCTCCCCACCACCCTCCATTTTAACTTTGAAAGCGTATTACAGCAAAATGGATAAGAGCACAGAAATGTATCTATACTTGCTAGATTCCACAAACATTCAGCTTTCATATGCATACTTTTGGATTCATTCTATGTATTATAGTCTTCGAGAAAATCAA